CTGAAATTCTCAGGAAGAAATCCAAACTTAAGACATTTAAAATGCATCTTAGGTAAGTTTTGTGGCATAAATAGGAAGAAAATTACAGCGTGATCTTGCTAATACTAATTAACAGCTATAAGCAAGGGAATGTGGAGAGAGAACGGAATTGTAATGAATGGAATGAGATATATCGAAAATCAGAGCTTTAGGAAACTGTTCATGAGAAATTAATGCTGCCATGAAGACAGTTTACCTAGAACTAGATGTTCTAGATATTTCAAGTTCCTTCAAGAAGAACTGAAGAAGTGCTCAAGAGAAGGACTAGTGAGTGTGGTGGGTCCCAGACAAGAATTGGCTTCAGGTACAGAAGGTAGACAGGTGTTCAGAGAGATCTTTGCACAACATGCAAGTGAAGGCGAAGGTTTATAGGGTGTAGAAAGTTACTTCCAATGCTTTCTTGGGTCCCGCTGACGTTACTGCAAAGATCATGCTCTAACTATGACGTGATAGTGTAAACTTTTCCTTGGAGCTGCTGTTTTTCCAGTCTGTCTTTAGAGAAATTAGATTTGGAAGCCTATTAACTCCTCCATCAAATGACCAATTTTTTTGATTCAGAAACTATCTCCCTCCTCCCACAAAAGGGTAAAAAGACTCTTTAATCCACAAAGTATCTATTTATAGTATTACCACCTCTTCGATTACATTCTAAGGGCTATTTAGTAGAGACTCTTTAAATGAAAGCAAGGTGAAAGTGGGAATTTCGGGAGAGGTATATTTCTCAGAAAGTAGTCCGATGGAGTTTGCTTAAAAATCATTGCAATGTAGCAATGCAATTTGGGACATACTGAGTCATAAATTCTCAGATTCAGGAGCAAGATTCTTGGTGGAAATTTAAATAATGTGGAGGGTATGTGTGAAGGGGAAGAAAGAGAAATTAATTTAATTCCATTTGCTGATGTGACTGTAACACAACTATTTTTAGGTATAATCCAAACAGTGCATATCTGCTCCATTTTGATTAGTCGCAAATTGGCAGGGATTCAAAAGAATTAGTATTTCTCAGCACAATATGCCAGAAACGTAAAAATAAAACTGAATTATCCGTGCCAATGTGCTTAATTTGAATTACTGCTAAGGTTTTTTTGTGTTTTTCCTTCAAAAGAACTAATGGGTCCAACTTTGTTAAAAAAAAAAATTCTTTTAAAGCTTTTCACATATGGCAGCAAAACTTAATAATTTTCCTTTAGACCCTTGCTTAGAAGCTTTTGCTAAAAACTTAAACGATAATATCATCCTGATACTTTGGGTGCAGAATTTCTGTCTGGCAGTTTTACATATTGCCAGAGGAAGTTAGCATGTTCAAAATGCAAAATTAAAAGAAGCTAGGAAAATGTGCTTCACAAGGAAAGGCTTCACAATAGCCACTTAGAAGTTATTAACAATTCCCCAAAAAAGAAGTTATTAATAATTCCAGTTCCAAAGAAAGCATGGACCGAAAAAATAAACTCCATTTGCAAAGTTTTATCTAGGCAAGTTCACCAAGGGATTCAGCTATATGCTATCCCAATTACATATTTCTGCGCTGGAGGGAGCATTTATAGATGCTGGAGCATCTTGTTACGCCTAGAGAACTTTGCACAATCTCAACATCATTTCCAATGTAGTGAATCAATGAATCTTGATCACATTGAAGGTCACTGTTTTAAGGTTTATGCCTTTGGAACTTGTTGCACACAAACCTATGGCGTAAGGTCGATTTTCTGCATATTCACTGCTGTCCTCTGTCACTTCTGGTGTGTATTATTTCACCAGACTAAAGAGGATTGACAGTTCTCTCCTCCCATTGCCATAGCTGTTGGGATTGACAGCCCAGTTTCCTGCATTTCTGCTATCAATCAATGTCCGTCTTCTTCAAAAATAATAAAAAGTAGTTATCACGGATAGTTGGAAAACACCAACCCGGTCTGTTTCGGAATCCTTGTAATCCTCAGAGTACTCAAGGGATCCTAGAAAAATCTTTTTCTATTTCCTACAAATACATACAAAATGGTCCCAAGATTATAGTCGTTTCTTGCAACTCACTAGAGTTTCGACCAAGTAGTTAAATTATATATATTCGTTTATTAAAGTTTAAAGGAGTGTCATGATTTTAAGACCTGAGGTTTGATGGGCCTGGAAAATGGGGCTGGGAAAATGTCTTTTTATTTAGACACAAGGACTTATCTAAACAGAATAAAGGGAAGGATTACCCTGGCACTTGAGTGTTCTTCAGATGAAACTGTGGGTGTTGTCTATTAATTTTCTACTATAAACTGAAATAAAGATGAACAAAACCCCTAACAAAATGCATCTTACATACTCCTGGAGTAAGGGAGGATAAAAGTGGGCTCTATTTATTTCTTGGGGAAAGAGTGAGATTTCATCCTGAGATTGATTTTATATTCGCTGAACTTTCTTTCAGTATTTTTCTTTGTATTTTTAAGTAAATTTTGCTATCATCCTCTTCCTTCCTTCCTTTCTTCCTTCCTTCCTCTCTCTCTCTCTCTCTCTCCCCCTCCCTCCCTTTCTTTTCCCTGGAGAAGGGGGTTAAACTTCATAGCAGCTTTTGTTCATACAACCTTCTGTTGGTCTCTAAAACATCTGTATCATGATAACCTTTCTCAGAAGACTGTCTCCTGAGGGCACCTGGGTGGCTCAGTCGTTAAGCGTCTGCCTTCGGCTCAGGTCATGATCCCAGGGTCCTGGGATCAAGTCCCACATCGGTCTCCCTGCTCCGCGGGAAGCCTGCTTCTCCCTCTGCCACTCCCCCTGCTTGTGTTCCCTCTCTCGCTGTCTCTCTCTCTGTCAAATAAATAAATTAAAAAAAAAAAAAAAAAAAAAAGACTGTCTCCTGATCTGTAGAATACTCCATTGCAAAAAAAAAAAAAAAAAGGGGGATAATCAATCTTGGCTTTCCTTAGCAGAGAATAGTTTCTTCATGCTAAAGCTCAGTCGGAGTCAAAACTTTATAATCCTCACTTTGGTTTCTTTACTGTACGATCATGAAATATAAAGCTTGCTTAAAAAGACAAAGACTTAAACTTATTCTGGAGAACGCAGAATTAATCCCAGGATGGAACTTCACTATCCTTTCTTTAGAAACCAATTTTATGAAAAATATCCTATCCATTTGGATGTCACGATGTTGCTGGGGAGTTGCTTTTACCTGTGACCTGCCACCCCCAAATTCTGGGAAAATGGTCTATATAATTATATAAGAGAAAAGAAAGGGTTGACTTAAAAAGCTGTTTTTATACATTTTTGTTTAAGCATAAAAGCACTTTTCATTCTAAACGGCCACGGGAGACATCTGCACACACTGATCATCATCTGCAGGCTGTGATTTTCTACTGGAAAACAAAAACAAACTGTGGAAGTCACTTACCTCTTTCCAGGCAGGCAACTCATTATTCAAGGAGTTAGTTTTTTCCCCCGCGTTTCTGTGCAAAAGTTGCAGTTGATTTACCTGGCTCTATGGCTTTTTTTTTTTTTTTTTAAAGAGACACAATCCCACATGATACTTCTTAAGTGCAGCAGATGGGATCTTGAAAACATCTGTAAGTAGTCTAGAATACCTTGAATCTGGCTGTGAAAATTTAGAGCAAGTCTGCAGCTCTCAGTAGGTACATGCCTTATTTGGTCTAGAGGCATTTTGCTATGTTACTGAGTCATGAAAAGCTATTAAAAGAGCTCTATGGGAAACCCAGCCTATATTTTGAACAAAACAAACTGTCTTCTCCATTATCACTGACCCCTTACAGACACACGGTACATAATCTTGATTGTGCTTCATTGGTATTTATTGCACATGGACCAATCCCTCACACAGTAGTTAGGTGCACCAGAGTATAAATACTTGGTAAAACACACAGAGGAAATACCATTTACACACAGGTGCTAAATTTTACCAGCAGTCACGTGGGCACTTGGACATAAAAAAATAATAAAAATCCTTAAGATAATTATATTTGTCATATGGATACAGTTACAGTACCATGATAAAAGAGTATAAAAATGTATTTTTCCAATAAATCATTAGCTCAATAACATAATAGACAACAGAAGTAGAGTTTCAGTTTTATTTTAGTTTTGTAAGATCTGCCCCCTGCCCCAGTTAAAAAATATTTCATTTCTTTTTGTGCAAGTAGCATCTTGTGTGGACTTTACAATTCCTAACACTGTGCAAAATTGGTATTTGGAACCACCCCTTGTTTTGTGTTTTGTTTTTTACCCATGTGTGCAGTAATCTGAATTGTTTCCTTTTTTTTTTTCTGTCCTGTCTTCAATGGACAGAGTCACATATCACAGAGGCTCAGCGCCTGGTCCTCCCAACTAATATTGATACATAAATAAGCTGTTTAATATAAACAAGTCTTTCTATCTTGCTGTGCAATGTGCACAGTGTGAGGTAGAAACCCCTCAGCCTGACCACCGAGGCGCACGGGGACAGCAGGTTTGCCCTACAAAAAGAAAGCAAAGTGAGGCTTGTTCCAAGAATAGCTTAAAATTTCTTGAAACGTGCTTTTCGCATCCATCCTTTCCCTTTGCTTTAAGAACAGGAAAAACCATTACTCGGGAAGTAAAATGAAATTTCTCTGGAAAGCAAAGGGAACACGTCCTGACAACTGTCATTCCCCCTTCTCTCTCCAGTTGACTGCTCCTGTTCCCTGCAACGGGATGGAAGCCAAGTTGATAGACATTTATGCTTCTCCCTTCCACGACCCAGTCCTAGAAGCAAGTGTCAAAAACCACCTGGAGGGAAAAAGAAAAAAAAAAGAGACAACCCCCCAGACTGAAGATGCATCACACGCACACACCGAAGAAGGCCGAAGCAGACACAGAAACAAGAACCCAAGACAAATCTGCAAGCCACTCTCCCACCCCTCCCCAAACTTTCCTTTCTGTGCAACGGTCCGTGGCTTTTGTGTTTGCCTTGGATGAAACAGACGCGGATTGCGGGCCTCGAGCTCACCTGCTCTGGGTCTTGAGTAAACACAGATCTCTTTCCCGCACCCGCCCCCCTTCCCCCGCAGCCCCACGGAAGCCGTCAGGGGCGCCTGGGCGTTCTTGCTCCCGGGCGCGGGGGGCCGGCAGCGCGCGCCGGGCCCTACACCTTGGATTCCGAGGCGCCCGCGGGGCGGCCCGGCTCGTCCAGGCTCGAGTCGCTGTCGGCCGCCGCCCCGCCGTTGCAGCCGGCCCAGGGCTCCAGCAGGCGCGCGGGCGGCGCGGCCCCGACGTCGTCGTCGTCGTCGTCGTCCGACGCGGCCCCGGGCGACGGCGGCGGCCGGGCCCGCGGCAGGCAGCCCGAGGCGCGCGGCTGGTCGCCGGCGGCCGCGGGGCTCCCGCGGGCGGCCCGGCGCGCGCAGCAGAGCAGGCGCTGGAAGGCCTTGCGGAAGTCGGGGCTGCGGCAGTAGATGATGGGGTTGAAGGCCGAGTTGGCGTAGCCCAGCCAGTTGAAGAAGACGAAGAGGCGGTCGGGCACCAGGTCGCGGTGGAAGGCCTTGACCACGTTGGCCAGGAAGAAGGGCAGCCAGCAGAGCGTGAACACGCCCATGATGATGCCCAGCGTCTTGAGCGCCTTCTGCTCGCGCAGGGCCACGAGGCGCGAGGGCCGCCGCTTGCTGATGCGCCCGTTGGCCAGAGGGGCGGCGGCGGCGGGGGGGCGCGGGGAGCCGGGCGCGGGCGCGGGCGACGGGGGCCGCGCCGGGCCGCTGAGGAAGCGGCGCTCGCAGCTGTCGATCTTCTTCACCTGCTTCTGGGCCTCGCGGAACACCCGCAGGTACACGAAGGCCATGATGCACAGGGGCACGTAGAAGGAGACGACGGACGAGGCGATGGCGTAGGCCCGGTTGGTGACGAAATCGCAGCACTTGGGGTCGTTGTAGCAGCGGCGCGCCTCGTCGCCCTCGGCCCGCCACCAGTGCATGAGAATGGGCAGGAAGGACACCAGGGCCGAGATGGCCCACACGGTGCACACGAGGGCCCGCGCCCGCGCGCGGGTCAGCAGGCTCTGGTAGCGGAAGGGCGACGTGATGGCGAGGTAGCGGTCCAGGGCGATGACACACAGGGTCTCGATGCTGGCCGTCACGCACAGCACGTCCACCGAGGTCCAGAGCTCGCAGAAGAAGGAGCCGTACTCCCAGCGGCCCCGCATGACGATGGTGGCCCCGAACGGCACCACCAGCAGCCCCATGACGAGGTCGGCGCTGGCCAGGGACATGATGAAGAGGTTGGTGAGCGTCTGCAGCCGCGGCGTCTTGGCGATGGCCACGATCACCAGCACGTTGCCCACCACAATGAGCAGCACGATGAGCGCCATCAGCAGGCCTATGCCCGCCGTCCACTGCTGCGACAGCGGCGCGGGGCCCTCGCTGGTCGGGGTCAGCGGCGAGGCGGACGGCGACGCGGGCACCAGCAGCCGCGCCGCCGTGGCCGCGCCGTCGGGGAGCGGCGCGGCCGACGACAGGTTGCAGGGCTCGGAGGCGCCCAGGGCGAGCGCCCCCGCGCCCATGCCGAGCTGCGGAGGCCGGGGGCGGGGGGTGTGGCGGGGTTAGGCCGTGGTTGGGGAACACCCCAGGGGCCCGGGCGGCGGGGCGCGCGGAGGGAGGTCGCGGCCAGGTCAGGGCAGCCGCTGCGCGGGGCCGGAGGCATGGGCGCCGGGCGCCTTCCCCGCCGGAGCCGTGCGCTGTCGCCGCCGCCGCCGCCGCCGCTGCTGCTGGAGCCGCTGCCGCTGCTGGAACAGCCGCCGGGACCTCAGCATGTTTCTGAGCGCGCTGAGCCCGCAGCCCCGGCACCCAGCACCCACCCCACCCCGCTCCCACTCCCCCAAGCCAACCCCCGGGACCTGGCGTCAGGCTCCTGCAGCCAATCCGGGCAAAGGCACGCCCCTATCTAGTCCCCCCCCCCCCGCATCCTAACGCCCCCCCCCCCCCCCGGCCGTTCAGCTGCTCCCGGGAGTCCGGGGCAGATCGCCGCACGAGCGCCGCCCCCGCGCCCGCCGGTTCCTGCAGGCGCGGCCCTTCCAGCGCCCGCCGCTTCCAGGGCCCTGTGCCCCCTACCCCACTACTGCGCCCGGCTCCCTCCCGTGTCCCCGCCGCCCCCTGTAGCCCCCACTCTCTCCGGCAGTCCCCGCTCCCTCCCGCGTCCTTTTTGCCTCTCGCGCTGGGCTCCCTCCTGCGCCCCCCCCGCCCCCGCCCCTGCCCCGGGCATCCTCTCTACCTCCAGTGCCCAGGTTCCCTGCGGAGCGGAGCGCGCGCTCGCCTTAGCGGGGAGGGGACCTCGGCGTTCTCCCGGCGCCCGAGCGCCTCGGACAGGCTGTCCGCCGGGGTTGGAGGAGTTTGGCTGCGAGGTTGTTTCTCGGATCCGGCAGCCTTGCAGAGTGTGTGTAAAACCCTTCCCCCGTCAAGAGGGGACCCAGCCAGCCTGCGCCCTGCCAGCTCGGGGGACCGGAGGCGGGTGTTAGTGGTTCGGGGAAACTTTCCAGCAGAGCGCCTTGCTGGAGCAAACGGCGCATCTGTCAAGAACGCTCTCTGGGCGCTCTTGCAAGGAGCTTCCGTTGTTCCAGTGCAGTAGACGCAGAAAGGAAGCGAAGGTTTGTGCATCTGACAGCTAACGCTGAGGACCAGTTGGAAAATCACACACTCCTCAGCCCCAGCTAATGAATATGTGAGTATGATACAACAGCGTGTCGATATTATAGAGGCTTAAGGAAACACAAATGTTAACGTAAATGACACCGCCAAGGACAAAGAACACATTTAATGACATTCCAGACTTTTCACGTTCAGTAATAACACTTGTATTCTGTGTTTTATTACTCACATGATTTTATATTTTCAGCTGGGTCAATACAAACAAAAAGGTACTGTTAGTTTTGGTTGACGTAATGAGCTGACATTTCAGATTCCTGGGGCTGCTCGGTTGCTTTCTCCTTTGCCCAAGTTCCCAGATTCTGAAAACTCCAGGATTAGTTTTGGAGGGATGAGAGGAGAAAATATGTAAATACTCAAAAGGATTAATATCCTATGGCGTTTAAAGTTCTACCAGTGGTTTTTGAGGTGGCGAATGAATCCGTGTGAAATTGGCGAGTTGTTAGCCCAGCTGTGGGTGGATTCTGTGAGGGGAAGAGCCACCTTGAACATACAGTGTGGCAGCGGGACTGCAAGCCCCCTCTCTAATCCTGCCATGGTGACGTCCTCAGCTCAGCCTTGAAAATAAAAGGCCTTTAATGGAATCCTCCAGAAGTAAACAGCTTCTAATTACCCATGTAAGGGTGCATGAAAACGTTATACACTGCTCACACGCCTTTCTCGAATTGGAATAAAAATAGGGTCTGGAAGGAACATCAACATCTGGACCTAACCCATATTCTTACCTTGCAGAGAGAGACTGATTTCCACAGCTACCCAAGTCAAGAGCTAAAAGCAAGGCTTACTCAGTTTATAAAGTCGAGCAGTTTTAACCACCTTCCCTTACTTAAATCCAAACAGAAATTTGCTTCAGGCCCAAACTGGATAATCAATCAGTGTTACAAGGCGGGTGGGTGTGGCTGTGGGTGATTTGTTTATTCACCCCTAAGCCAGGACTTGTCAGCGAGTTCTGCCAACCTGGAGAGGTTGAGAAGGGGGAGCAAGAAGAGGAAGGGGGCTAGAAAGAGGGGAGGAACGGGGACTGCACCCTGAGTTTAGTGTAAGCTCCCAAGAGCCTTAGTTACCTGTCACTGCAAACTGGTCTCCCCTTCAGGCTTCCTTCTGTTGCCACCCTCAGGAGGCAGACTCAAAAGAGCCAAGGGGTTGCCCAGGAAAGGGGTTCTGAGTGCTGGGCCATGGAGTGAGGTGTAGGGAATGTGGGGAGGAGGCTTTCTATCCTGCGCCATCTTTCTGTCAAGAGGTGTTACTGGAATCGTGTGTGCCAAGCTGAAGTGCCCATGATGGGCCAAGGGATTGCATTTCTGTGAGAGATAAAGCCAGAATGTGGTTGCAGAGGTTCAGTGAGGAGGCCTGGATGCCAGTAACATTACCACAGGTATACATATCTATGTATTTGTGTACATTATGTATAAATACATGCATTTGTATACATATGTATGTGTATAAACATACCATGTATCAGGGCATGGGATTAGAATTGTCACAAAACTCTCCTGAAACTTTTTTTTTCCTGCTCAGTCAGAGGTACATCAAACTCCCCCAAATTTCTGGATAATAAATACCTTAAATCACAAATATTCAAAACCAGAAGGTTATTTTAATAGGAGTTCCAACATAGGGCTGCAGGCATAAAGGAGACTCTGGCATTCTTGGGGCTTTCTTTCACTTGTTTTTATGGAAAAGCGTGGAATAGCCCATGTTCAACTAGAGTTAGCTTTCTTTTAAAATAAAATGTTCTCGGATCTCCTTTAAATCTTACATTTCATGATACTTTTTTGGGGACACTTTTGAGCTACCCTTTCTGGTCCTTAAATGAGGATATAGATTAAGAAGAAAAGGTTCACCATATCTACTTATGCAGGTGTTACATGTTGCAAGTTCAAAATTAATAACTCCACCATTTCCCCATTCCCTCCTGGAAACTGTCAAAATGATTCAGTTCTTCGGAACCCATGGATTTGACAGTACTTTACGAAACAACAGAAAGCTCCAACAATAAATGCTAATAAGCTCATGGAGAGGGAGTAGGCTTCTTCCTCCATAGTTCCCACCCCTACCTCCCTTTTCCATCCCACTACCACCCTTCCACATCTGCACATGCCATGGTTTTCTTTGATCTCCCAGCCTCTAAATCTCCCTGCTCCATTTAATCTGGCATCCCATAGTCAAATTAATATTTCTAAAATGCTGCTTTGAAGCAAGATGCTTTTGTGTTCTCCTCAACACAATAAATATTTGAGCAAAAAATATTTCCTGTTTAATTTTAAAATCTCATTATTTACTAGTATGAGAAATAATTGAGGTTTTTTGGGAGTTACGATCTTCTCTCATGCTTAGAATTTACAGTAATAATTCATATTCCTATAGTCCAGTCCACTTTTTCATGTAAGTATTTCAAAATATTTTGTAAATACAAGGTAGGCTCATGAGATAACTTTATATCATACCTACTCAGTAATAAATAAAGTCGGACATAGGTAACAGATTTTTCCAAAGGGGTCACACAAGTCCACATCAATAAAAAGCACTCCCTAATCTTCATAAATATTTAAGGTGAATGACCTTTTCCCTTAGCCTTCATTTGTGATACTATATATCCAGGCATTTCTGCTCTGGAAGAATAGCTGATGACTTGAATCTTGTTTCAAGTTCTAGATTGAATTAAACAGTACAGCAGTGATTAATAGTGATTACAACCACCTATGCTTGCAAGCCAGGAGCTTGGCCAACACCTTTCCACTCTTGAGTTGATTTTGCTAGAAAATGAGATAAAAATAATAGTGAATAGCCTAACCAGACAGCTGCTGGAATATGGGCCAAAGGAAGTCTTGGGGGGAATTTCCAAGTAAAGCCCCAAGAAATATATCAAATCAGTAAGTTAGCAAAATTTGCCTTGAGGCTGATCATGGGTGGCGGGGTTTGGCAATCAGAGCTCAAGTGGCTGTTTCAGAGGAAAGACACACAACTCCTCACATAAAGAATACTACCGCGGAAACAGTCACTCAGGGCTAACTAACCAGAGAACAGCCTGCACCCGTGGCTGGCACTTAAGGTCACATACTGGTTTTGCAGCTACAGTTTACATAGAGACAGGCAACTCCATCCACTGTGATAAGAATGAGGACAGTGTGTAATCCTAGCAAAGCCTGGACTACTTGGAAAATTCAAAAGCTTTCCTCTCCCACTTCCTCCGTCTTTGCCCCTTCCTCCTCTTCCTGGTGTGTCTCATGAGTACATTGAACAGAGCTAGAGCCAATAACAATATTTTTCAAAATTTGGATGTATTGGAAAGTGTTCAGACCTGGGAGGCAGAAGATCCAGGTTTGTATCCTGGCTTTGCCACTTTTCGGTTTGACCTTCTGCAGTGGCTTCATCTTTAAAACGGACGTACCTTTTGTTCCCTCACACGACCGTGCATGGGTTAAATGAGAGAATGTACGTGAAGGCTTCCTGAAATCACATATAGCACCATATATTTGCAACACGTCAAATTCAGTCTTATCCAATCCTCATGACATTTCAAAGCATGAAAGGGGTCAGAATTTGCTCGTATGAGAAGTCCATTCACTTAAATCAGCTTCTCTTTATCAGCTGGACTCTTTTCTCACACCAGATATTAATATGACTCAGAGGCTGGATAACAGTGAACTATTTTTAAATGCTTTTACCTTTGGCACATCACCTTTTTAAAAAAGTTTCCCCCCCTTTTTTTGTGCCCTTCCTTATTATGAGCCCTATTCTATTTTTTAAAAGTATTTGTTTATTTGAGTCTCTGAAATTCCTTTTAAGTATTTCAGCTGTGAAATATTAGCAGTAAAGGATTTTTTTCCCCCTCAAGTCAACTACTTAGCACCATGACTAGTAACTTAAAAAACAAAAAAACAAAAAAAGGAAAGCAATGCAATATAAAACCAAAGCCAACTTTCAAAAATTCTGTTCTTAGTCAGTTGTATAATGAATAATAATGGCTTGCTGGCCGGCTGATAGCTTACCTTTAGGTGCTCCTGGCAATAGGAATATCACTGTTACACATGAAAAGCATTTGGCTAGGAGTCGTCCTTCAATGGACCCAAGTCCAGAGCTTGGGGTGACCACAAGCTGTGCTAATTATTGAAAACTCTAGGTTTTATTTTAACAGAGTCTTACCGTGTTCCAGATAAAACAATTATGTTGTAACCAGCCGAGGAGTTTGTAACAACAAGAATCTCTCCAAGCCCTTATTTTAAGCTGCTGAAGGGTAGGAATGATGCCTTTTAAACATTTTAGCTCCCATTTATGCTGGCCATGTAGTTGGTACTTCATAAATTCCTGTGGAATAGAGGAACCACTTAAAAGCTTATGTATAGTAGATTCTACCAAATAAAAGAAGACATTGTGTGTTTTTTTTTTTAAGATTTTATTTATTTATTTGACAGACACAGCAAGAGAGGGAACACAAGCAGGGGGAGCGGGAGAGGGAGAAGCAGGCTTCCCGCTGAGCGGAGAGCCCGATGCGGGGCTCGATCCCAGGACCCTGGGATCATGACCTGAGCCAAAGGCAGATGCTTAACGACTGAGCCACCCAGGTGCCCCAGACATTGTGTTTTCCATTCATCCATGGAACATGGCATCTGGGTACTCCAATTGAATGGAATTGCCAAAGGGAACCAGGTGGAAGAAGGTAGTTGTCTGCTCTGCCTCCCTCCAGGTGATAGATCAAATCATTTACATTTCTTTCTTTTCACTCATTACTTTGAGACACCAAACAGGCATCTTCTTTCACATGTTTTTCCACTTTGTATTGTATAGGTATTTTCCTAGTTAACTTACTCATTACTTATGTAGTACATAAAAGCCCATCCAGACCCACGCAATATATAGGGGCATGGCAGGTCCTTTGCCTAGGAAGGGCTGAGTCTGAAGACACGAGTGAGAGAGTATTGCTGCAACTTTAGTTTTAACAACCGGTGCGGTCAGACTTCTTGCTTTGAAAATAAATATCAACCCTTGGACGTGACATTTATTTTCCACAATGTCTCAGCTTTGCAGCTCCTTGAATAAAACCTGCTAGAGACCTTTATCTCATGACAGATTTCTGTTTCCAGAGCATTATCCCCTAATTAAATGTTGAGGGGGCAATGACCTTCTTAACAGACCTCTTCTAAATAGAAGCTACTTTTTACACTGGTGGAGAAATGATGGGATTTTTTTATCTCCCCATTTTAATATGGAGAAACTGAAGCATAAGGAGAGAGACGTGCTTAAGGTTCCAAGGAAAGGAAAAGGGAGTTCTTGACTTTCCTGCCTCCTGAGCTAATCTTCAATTACCAGAACCGGCATCCTTAACAGATTTTGGCTCACCTCTGACTACTTGTCAGCATAATTCAATTGCGTGATATATTTGGGGGCTAGAGCAGGTCGTGGAGTAATTTTTTGAATACAAAGCTCCGAACAAGTGAAAAGATTCTATCATGCAATGTTTATTTGTATTGTTCAATTGGTTTAAGTATAAGAGATCTAGAAGAATAATCATATTTAGCCACACAAATGAAATTCTCATTGTTAATACATTTCAGTGTGAATTTCCAAAAATGCCACATGAATGCTAACTCTGAAGACAAAAAGAACACCAAAGAAAAGCCAAGCAATTAAGCAATTTGGTTTTTTTGGTTTTTTAATCTGTAACTGGAAGAAGATTTCACAGAAGACTCTTACTGAGAATGAAAGGCTCAAAAGTAGTGACAACTTTGGGGATTTTACTTAAGAGTCTAAATAAGGCTGCTTGGGAGTTTGGAACAGAAAAGTGAAAAACCAAACTCTACTTGCTTTGCCATTCCACATCCTAATACCTTTTCCATACCAGGTGGTCAGATACACATTGCACTGTGAGGCTCAACGAAATGCCGGGGGAAGGCACTAATATGGTATTTGGCATAGTTTTGAAAATATTTTTTTTCTTATTCTAAAAATGTCTGATTCTGACTTGTCACCATTTCCATCCTACTCCCTACCTTTCCTCTCTCCTGCTGCAAACTATTCTGCAGCAGGCATGTTTCAACCCCCCCCATGACTAATTAATTAATAGAGACTATATGCCTTTTCATAGCTCTCTCTTGTGGATAATAATATGGTCTCGGTTTATAAAAATCCCACACATATATATTCATATGTATAGTTTTCATAAGTCCTCATCAGGGAGGTGACTTAGAATAGAAATAATTTCTTAAGCAAGTTAAAAGCCCATGATTAACTTTGCAAAAAATTATAATCAGTATTTTATAGCATAGCCAGCCTTGGTGGCAGATTTTGAAAATATCCCTGGCCTAGGCAATTTTGTTTTAGATGCTTTTTATTACATAATTTCAAATTATGGCATTTAAGCAAGATTACACTCATTTTAATGATTAGTTTTGACATTTACCTCTCTATATATACCATAATGATTAAGAATGCAGGCTCTGGAGTTAGACCACCTGGGTTAAAATTCAGGTTCTGCCATTTAGTAGCTGGATGACTCAGAACAAGTTGTTTGAACACCTCAGGCCCCTGTTTTGTCATCTGTTAAATGGGAATAATAATATCCCACCTACTTGGGCGCTGTTTGGGAGGAGTCAATAAGATAGGGCATAAAAGCATTTGTCATAGCGCTTGGCTTATCTTACATATTTAATAAACATCAACTTTTTTTTTCTCCCCCTGGCACCACCAGACCACTACAGATCATGACATAAAGCAGAAAAATCTTCATTCTGTGCAAAACCAAGGGTGGCAAAGAAGGCAGCTTCCAATCAGTGGAAATTGAATAATTGAATAAATGTGTTCTTTTTTAAAAGCGAGAGATGTAGTAAAGAATCTAATTTGGTAAGTACTCTTTTGGTTTCAAAGTTTATTCCTTTGTGGTCATTTAATCTGATTATCGTTCCGCTTGGGGAATTAGAATTTCCTAAACTAATTTTGCATCACGGAAAGGTCATTCCAGAGAGTTCCACCCTATGGTATAACCATGTTCCAAGTATATGAAACAACAATGACAAAAGAAAGCCTCACTGGGCTCTTGATTATCTTGGATAATTGATCCAAGCTGCTGCTTTTTATGGGGTAAATTCTTAAGACCTCAAGGAAGCCAGAAGATTCTCTTGTGACCTTCAGTTCCCTTGAGTACAAGGGGTCTCACTACCTCATCCCCTGAGAACGAACGGAGGGTAAAGAAGTTTTTCCAAGTCTCTGAGTTTCGACCCCTAGGAGACACTCAGACCCTAACTTGGAGCTATTAATTTTATTTCAGCAGCAGTTTCAATGCCTTATTTTCCCCGTTTCTGTTCTTTCATAAGAGACTAAGAGAAACAAATTGGAGCGAAGGGAGTAAGGCTGGTGCAGGGGGCGCAAAGAGGACAGCCGGGAACTTTCTATCAGAACACGGGGAAGGGAGGGAAGCCACTTACTGCAGAGAGAGTGTTCTGTGCCGCAGCCACTGATGACCCCACATCATTGAGAGGTTTAGTTGGTGTTTAGCTGTCCTCAGTTAAGAAACAGAGTGTGCATTTTAGAAATATCTTTATTAAGGAATAGTATGAAAGTTTCAGAACATCGTATTTTCCAGAACACTTCTGTTATCTAGAAAATGAATTTATATGGACTGTTTCATGCTCCAGTGATGCTGGATCCATGAGGCGTGAATTAGTTGGCTAGAAGTCCAAAATCAAGGTGCCAGTCAGTTTGTTCTGAGGGCTGTGAGGAGAGGGTCTGTCCCAGGTCTCTTCCCTTGGCTGGTAGTTGGCCATCTTTCCTCTGTGCCTGTCTGTGTCCAAATCTCTCCTTTCAATAAGGACACCTGTCCTGTTGAATCAGACCCACGTTCACGACCTCAGTTTATCTTCATTACTTCTGTAAAATCATGTTTGGAGATCCAAATAAGGTCACATTCTGAGGGGTTGGGAGTTAGGACTCCAACACATGTTTTCTGGGGGGACATATTCACCCCTGAGCAAGATGCTACTTGTATGTAAGAAAGTTCGATGCCTTATGCACAATCTCTAGTCATCTGTGTTTCAGAATGTTCTATTATGTCTTCTAGGACAGAGGGCAAGCAGAATGACTCCTTAGAGTTCACCCTAAAGATGGCTCCCCGATTAAGTGGCATCCAGACCCTGGTGAGAATAGTCACCTTTGTTGTAGGATTACAGCCGGCCACAAAGTCACGAGTGCCACCAGCTGAATGTGGTCCCACCAAGTTCCTGTGTGGGCTGAGTAAGTAGCCTGGGTCTTCACATGGAGAAGGGGAGGGGTACATGTAAGCCACATCCCTGTTCACTGTGTACTCCAGGTATGGTTAAATGCCCTGCTCTTTTATAGCTTTCATTACCCACCAAGAAACTCAACTATTGTCTTGCAAGTGAAATAGAAAAATTCAGGTATATGTTAATAATTCCCATTCAAGGGAAAAAATCAGCCAGTCCATTTGGTTGGTTGTACAGAATACTTTTCAGCGGGTTGACATTGTGTAGACACACAAACAGTTGCTCTCCACAGCAATAACGTGGATGTTATTTTTTTCTGAACCAGAATTAGGGTAACAGACAGCAAATAACTCGGTAGGAGATAGACAACAATCCTTTATAACTGAAGAACAAAGCAGGCCTTTGAGGCAAGATAAACTCAGGTACTCACTCATATAGAATCCATTGAATAACAGCATTTTTATGACCTTGAAGTAATGATTTTGATTGAGAGGGTGACTCAGATCCTAAACTATTGGCAAGCAGGGGTTTGACTAAGAAATAACTCCCTTCAGTATATCAACTTAGATTTACTATGGAATCTGAAGCTCACGAACGTTCTAATTTTATCCACCCTTAAGTGGTATATTTAATTGTCCTTTGTGGACACCGATGACGAAGCTGATAATATTTTAACCTGTGCATGGCCATGGACCAAATGAACCTGGATTTTATGCCCACGATACAAAACCCCAAAAGCCCTACCTGGTTAAGGTCCAAGAACTCAATCTGAGCATTTGTCTTGCCATTTGATATAAGAAATGGCTCACAGCTGTCCTGGATGCCTCTGCTACAGGAGCTGAATATGGAACCGGATGCCTAAGTATAAAAATCCGAGGATCTCTCTAACATAGTATGGCATTCTGTGTTGCAGTGAGGCCAACTCCTCCTTACAGATAAATCTGTTACGTGCGTGCTATGTAAACAGCATGAATTTAGATGTATACGAAACAGTATTTTTAAAAATGTCACATCTAAGTGTTTTTAATGACTGGGTTAGTTCAGTAGAACCATCTTATATAAGATGGCACTTAAAGAAAAGCTCAAATCTGTGCATCTGAGTATTATTTAGTCATCTGTTTGTGCAACTATATTTTTAACTTAATTTATGATGAACAAATAGTCTTTCTGAACTCCCAAGTTGTGTTTTCATACTTCAGTTTGGTTTATTTTCCTCTCAGTTTCCTTCAGAACCCATTACAGAGAACTTTCTTTGGAAACTTCACAAAGTTAGCAGCATCTGTCAGAAAGCACCAAACCAAACAACCAAAATTAAAAACTGAGAATAGAATCATAGGGCATATGCATTCTTTCCAAAGCAATGTAACAGAAACAGATCTATGTCACATTCTCTTTCTTGTTCCTGTTTCTCTTTATCTTTATTGAAAACATCATCTGTGGCCATGTAAAACGTCTGCCAACACTTCTGAGTGCCAAAGAATCTTTATATTTTTGTTGACTGAAGTATCGTTATTGTCACAGTATTAATGGTAATATACAGCTTTAAAAATCCACTTGCCATGGGATGTGGGATAGTAAGTCTGGATGAAAGACTTGGACCCTGTCTTCAATAAGTTTACCCTCAGGGAGTTTCCCTCCCTCCCTCCCTTCCTTCCTTCCAACTCCATTGAGGAATAATTGACAAATACGTGGCGCATATATTCAAAGCATACGATGTAATGATTTGATATACATATAGGTTGTGGAATGATCACCAAGATCAAAATAGTGCATCTATCACCTTAGCGTAGGTAAGTCTTTCCTATTTTGTGGTGACAACGCTCCCATTCCCTGTTCCTAAGAAATTTTGTTGTCGTTTTGTTTTGTTTTAGACGCCAGAGTATTTGTATTTCTCTGTCTAGCTTATTTCACTGAGCATAATGCCTTCCAGATTTATCTGTATTGTTGCAAATGGCAGGCTTTCCTTCTTTTTCATGGCTGAGTAATATTCCGTTGTAGCTATATACCACATTTTCTTTCTCTCTCCATCTGTCAAAGGACATTTAAGTTGTTTCTACATCTTGGCTATTGTGAGAAATGTTGCAGTGAACACAAGAGTGCAGGTATCTCTTTGAGATCCTGATTTCAGTTCTTTCGGGTATGTACCCACAAGTGGGATTGCTGGATCATAGGGTAGTTCTATTTTTAATGTTGTGAGGAACCTCCATGCTTTTTTCCATAACGGCTTCGCCAATTTCCATTCCCACCAACAGTGCGCCAGGCTTCCCTTTTCTCTGTGTCCTTGTCCACATTTGTCATTGCTTGTCTTTTTTATCAGAGCCAACCTTGCAGGTGTGAGGGGATATCTCCTTGTGGTTCTGGTTTGCATTTCCCTGATGAGGAGTGATGGATGTCACTAGGGATTGGTCAGAGCTAGTGATTAAACACCAGACACTATTCTGAGGTGTCATTTGTGATATCTCATTTACTTCTTGTAATGGCCTTGTCTGGTGTTATGTTTGCTTCGTAAGGGAGGGAACCGAGGCTCAGAAAAGTTGAGTGATTTGCCCAAAGTTCCACAACTAGTAAATGGCAGAGCGGGACTTCCAGCCCAGGTCTGTGGGACTTCAAGGCTAGAGCTCTTGACTACTCTAAAACAAGGCCTCGTTTTATTTTTTTCCTGTTTTGAAACAGCTTCATTTTTTTGAAACTAAGATCCAAATTCAATTGATGTAAGAAAATCTTAAGTGAATCCTATGCGTAATATCATGTGAATTTTTTCTTGTGTTTAGCTTTTGTAAAAACTTTATTTGTAAGGATGTTTTCCATGAATGCACAGGGCTGGTTCCCCATGAGTTACCAAAATTCTGCCTGTTTGGCATTTCCTCTCTTCCACTGTTCCCGTGTCAGTTCTGCCTCTCAACTTCCTGGACAGTCAACAATCATGCCCTTTCAACACTTTCAAAATTTTGTTCCAATTTCTGTGACAAACGGGGAGAAAAATGACCATTAACTGGGGGTGCCACCACTGGGAACAGCATTGGCGAGAGTGGAATTCACTCCCCAGGACCCCTCTCCTCGCCTGGGGCCCAGGCAGCAAGTCAGCCTTTCCTGCTTAGAGCTTTTCTAGAATGAGTCAGCTAATCCTGTATCCCCTCAATTCCATAAGACATAGGCCAGGATCTCCAGAAGAGTCTCCTAATGCCTCCTCCTTGGTTTTAGGGCAGTGGGAAAGAGCCACTCCTCTGCAAAGAGCCTAGGAGCAACACTCAAGCCTCTGGTTAAGACCCTCATGACGGGCTAGGCCCCTGTGCAGGGTGTTGGGTCACCCCCCTGCAGGGTCTGCATGGATGGTCTAGCCCTTCTCTTTAGAATGCATGAGTGTCTAACAAACCTTGTTCTCAGCTATAGGGTCTCAGCCCACACTGAGTGTCAGAAGAGTCCTCTGTTAACATCCTGTTACACATAGTTTGGGGAATTTTTGGCACACGGTTGTAATCAGAATCATGGTGGAGGCAGTGAGGGAAGGGGAGGGATGCCTTAGAAATGCATGTGGTGAAAGTGAGGCTGCCAAAGATGGGGCTAACATTCAAAGGCACAATGGGGACGAGTAACCCACATACCCAGAGAAAAACATCCCAGATGCTGAGGTGAGACCCTGGAGATAAGAGAAGACCTAGAAGAGAATTCTGTTGAGGAAGCAAAGAGAAGAGAGCTTCAAGAGAGGGGATGGTATAAAGGACCAGCTCCTTGATGTTCAAAGAGCTTCTAGAAATCAAGAATGAGAAGACTAGCAGCTCAATGGAAAATGGGCGAAGATCAGGATTGGATAGCCCTCGATAAAAGAAAGACAGGTGGCCCCTGAATTTCTGCAGAGATGCTCAGCCTCACTCCCAATAAGGGGATCCCAGGTGAAAACTACCCTGGGATCCATTTCTCATGTTGGAGATGGGCAAACATTTTGATAAGATGCTGTGTTGTCAACATTGTGGGGACAGGAGCTCTCTGACGCAGTGCTGATCAGAGTGCATAATGGTTCAAGCCCAGAGCAGGTGGATGTGGCAGCATCCGTCTTTGACACAGAGGGCCACCTGACTGTCCCGGAAACACATTTCCCTTTCAGGTTCTAGGATAGCAACTTCTCCAGTTTTCCTCCTGTGTCCCAGTTTGTACCTCTGAACCTTCTTTGCTGGCAGTTCCTCTTCTGCCTGGCTTCTCAATGCTCGGGGCTCATTCCAGAGCTCTCTTCTCTATCTCCACCCTCTCCTTAGGTCACCTCATCCAATCCCATTGCCTGGTTGTTCTTTTTTTTTGGGGGGGGGGCTGGTAAAATACCCGTTTATATAAATTTCACCATTTTAAAGTGTACCATTTAGTGGCACTTAGCACATTCACATTATTGTGAAACTGCCACCTCCATCTGGTCCCAGAACATCCCCCATCACCCCAAAGGAAAACTCTGTACCTATTTAGCAGTCCCTCCCCATTCCCTCCTTTCTCAGCCGCTGGCAGTCACTAATCTGCTTTCTGTTTCTGGATTTACTTATTCTGGATGTTCTATATAAATGGAACTGTTTTCCTAGCACAAAGTTTTCAAGGTTCACCTACTTTGTAGCCTGTGTTAGGGCTTCCTTCCTTTCCATGGCTGAGTAGTATTCCACTGTGTGGCTATTCTGCATTTCATTTATCCATTCATCTGTTGATGGCCACTTGTGTTGTTTCTACCATTTGGCTGTTTTCAATAGTGTTGCTATGAATATTTGTGCAAGTTTTATTTTCAATTTTTGGGGTCTAGACTTAGGAGCAGAATTGCTGGATCATATGGTAATTCTGGGTTTAATCCAACTATTTGCTTTTTTTTTTTTTTTAACATCCATAGACTGATGACTCCAAAATCTATAGCTCTGGCCTGATTCCTCCCAACTGTCTACCTCAAATCTCCCCTGGCATACGACGTCTCACAGCTGACTTGTCCAGCACTGACGCCGTTACTCTCTGCTCCCTCCAGACTCTTCTCTGGTCTTCCCGGCTCAGGAAATGGCACTGCTTTTGACGTAGGGACTCTCTCTGATGGAGGCCCTAGGGCTCACCCTCACTTTCCCCCTTTCCAGCTCTCCCCATATCCAGTCCATCGGCAAGTGCTGTGCACTCTGTTTGCCATCTTGTCACCTCTTCCCTGCTGCTCCCTTGATCCAAGCCAGCAACTTCCACTCCTACCCCTAGAGTTTATTCTCTGCTCTGTGGCCGAGAGTGGCTTTTAAAAAGATATATATGATCTTAAAAAAAAAAAAAAAGATCACTTAGTTTCCTGCTTCAAGCTCCCCAGTGGTTTCCCACTGCATTTAGAATTCAACCCAGACTTGCTCCGTGCAGGCATATGGCAACCTGTTTGCCGCCTCCCCTTCCCTTCCTTCTCCCTTGCTCTCTGTGTTTTACCACACTGGCCCCTCTGTCCCTTGAACTGGGACCCGCCACAGGGACTCTGAACTTGCTGCCCCTCTGTCAGAAACCGCACAGCAGGTCCTCATCACTACTGAAGCTTCCACTCAAGCACTACCTCCTTAGGGAGGCCTTGTCTCAGCACCCCTCCCCCAGACTCCACCAATCTTGATCTTATTATACCGATCTGGTTTTTTTTCATTGATCTGTCATTGACATTTCACATCATTATCTGAAATTACCTCATTTATATTTATGTGTTTATTTTCATTGTTGGGTGTTTGTTCCCTCCCCCGCTCCCCCTTCCAACCCCTTTCCTCAAATATCAGCTGCTTGGGGACGGGAATTTTGTCAGTATTCATGGCTGACTCTTCAGACTCTTGGACACTGCCTGGCATCTGCAAGTCACAGAGAAAGCATTTGTTGGATGCTGTTGAAGGAGAAGGGTTCACATCTCACCTGGCTCTGAACAAATCTTCCTGATCCCGCTATCACCTCATTTCCCTCCTCCTCCTCCTCATCTACATACTTCCAGAAGGAGTAGATCATACCGAATGTATTTATTTAGTCATATTCTTTCCCTCTGTAACCCTAAACAACTCAGCTTTTCCCGCCACTACCACCCAAAAGTGCTTCCTCAAAGATCTCCATAAAAGTCAAACCCAGTTGCTCAGTGTACTCTTCCCTCTCTGTAGCACCGGGCACTATTAACCCTGTTCACATCCATGGATCTCCCTTTGACATTGTTCTCTCTTGGCATGACTCCTGCCCAGGGGCATGGTAAACCTGGGAGTATATCCTGGAGTGTCTCAGGAATGTGTTGGGGGTTCCAGCCATCATACCTGGTGAGCAGGCTGGCTCTTAGCCAGATAGTCCAGAACAATTGCGATGGGTTAATGGCATGGACTCCCCATGAAGAGTGCAAAGGGGAGCTGCTCAAAGCACCAAATCCCCTGATCTCATTCAGGTGGTACTTTGGCAGTGGTGTGTCATGCTGGGTACCTGACAGCCAGGGAAGATGCCCTCCACCAAAGGGCACTGCTGAGCCACCTGCTCTGTGTAGGTGTCCTTGGGCTGTCCGTTGATCTTCTATCTGCAAAGTAAGTAAGACCATTTTCCTGTGCCTGTGGAATCTTTTGATACATTCTACTGGGCCAAAGGTATTTCTGCCACAGCTGGACACATGATGTTCTAAATCATAGTCCTTGTCTTGCCCCACTCAGTTCCCACTTGATGTGGGACATGCAGGTTGGGAGTGCCTACCTCTCCCATCTACTGGCTACATGGCCTTGGACAAGTCACTGCATACCTTAAATCCTCTAGCTCCATATCTGAAAATTGAGCAGAACCACTACGACCTCGTAGGCACCTTGACTCTGACATGAGGATGCCCAGGACATTCAATCATCAATGGCTCCCCATTGCCCTCCTAATTAGCTCTGGTATTCAGGCCCCCACCTCATAATCCTTGGTGGCTCCTCAGGTTCTGCCTTCCCATGTATGCTGGGTCCTGGGATTTTGCCCTGACCTTCCACGGCTTATGGGAGACCATTTTCCCCTTGGGCTTTTCTTTGAGTTCCGTATTTTTTTAAAAAACAGAAACATGCATTAATTTTATAATCAGGAAAAAAAAATCTCACCATTAATATTGTTTTGAATTACCCACCATGTGTCCATAAACCATTTCTGGATTACCCATCATCTGTGGGTGCTCAGACCTTTGAATCCACTGCATTCATCCTTTTTAAATCCATCCTTTTTAAGGCTCTCTGGGAACTCACAGTATTGGCCCTTACAAAGTCAAGTATGTATGGGGGTATAATACAAATATATGACCAACTGTTAGAGAACTCAAAATGTGAACTCGGGGCAGATCTCCACTTTTCACTCACTGGGTATTTTGACTGCAGTGACCGGTGACTATCCAGCTGCCCTGCCCATGATTTCAATAAATATTTGTTTAACTGAATTGTTAACCAACGCATGTAAGAACAAGCCGGACCTACATGCCTTGTCTCTTATAAATAGAATAAAAATAACCTGTGTAATTCATCAGATTAACTGATAAAAGGTTTTGTTCTTTTGCCTGGGGAGAGGGCCAGAAAGAGACCATTTAGAAGCTTGTCTTTTCCAAACCCAGCAGTTTAATGCCACTTGAATGGAAGAAAAACAGCCACAGTTATAATGATCTATGAGTTTATGTCTATCTTTTGCTTTTCCACCCATGAAAGATATGAAGTACTTTACGAGGGCCAGAGCTCAGGAGGGGATGCCGTGCTGCCCTCAGCCCCTGCCTCGTGGAACAGTCATTGCAAAGGAATGTTTATCCCTCCGTGGACTCTTCACTCTGGGGCTCACCATCACGCACACTGCTGTGCGTGGTTTCACTCCACCTGCCTCCTACCTTATTTTGTGGGGAGCAGTCTAATTATGAGGGGATGAGCACTTTCTTACAAATTTTTAATTCCTCTGGGCAGTTAATAAAAGAGAGCTAAGTATGGCTGTTTTAATCCTATCGATTAGAGTGGGAGGCTGAATAAGACAAATTCTCTCTATTGTTTACTTGATCATCTGTTTAAATTTTCTTTAAACGTGAGCCAAAAATCCTCGTTGCATTTTTAGTGATTGTGATCATCATTAAATAGTCTTCTTCTCTCCACATCTTCCTGTTGTGAAGTCTGTACAAATTGGGTTAGTTCCGGTCCAAAAGGAACTTGTAATTTAAAACAACATAAAGGCCAGTGTTTCTCAACCGGGGGGCAGTTTTGTGTCCCTGGAGGACATTTGGCAATGTCTGGAGATATTTTTGGTTGTTGTAACTTGGGGTGGGGGTGGGGGTATGGTTTGCTATCAGCATCTAGTAGGTAGAGGCCAGGGATGCTGCTAATCATCCTGTAATACATTCAGAGCTCCACCACAAAGAACGACCTGGCCCAACATTTCAGTAGTACTGAGCTTGAGAAACCCTGATATAAACATATGGACTTAAGTGCACAAATAGTTTAAAAATGGTGGTAGATTGAGAAATGTCTACCTTCTATGGAGAAGGTCTAGACAAGAGATGGGAGGGATTGCAGACAACTTAATGCTACCAGAATAGCCCCGGGTGGCAGAATTAACATCACCTTCCTTCCAGATTGCAGCAGGCTCTGTGAAAGGGATCGGGAGGGTGCAGGGGATCTTTTCCGAGGCGAGAGATCTTCACGAGTATGTATGATGACTTGAAATCATTCTGATTTTTACCACTGGGGTCTATGTCTGACAAGAATGCCAGTCATTTAGGAAACAATCAACTACTCGCAAACCTTTTACATTGGAAGTGGCGGACTTTATTCTGTGATTTCGAAAGTACTCACAAAGGCCAGAAATGACAGAGAGTTCAGGATCATGTTAATTCAAAGACTAAAAAAGAGGAACCATTCAGCCAGCCCAAAGAAATGATTGCATCATTTCCTGGTGTGCGGTTCAGGTTAAAAATAATCTTTAATCCCCATCAAGAGCAAGCTGTCTTGTCAGAGAGAATTAGGAAATTACCTCCGAGCCAGGTTATAGGGTGGGGTGGAGAAGGGGCGATTCGTCAAGGAAGAAATTACTGCTGCGTTTTAGGATTAATCTGTCTGCATGACTGCAGAAAAGGTGGGGCTGAGGGGGTACTGATGTGAAGGGAGAGAGGAGGAAGGTGCATGGGGAAGTCTTTGTAGGTTTTCTGTGGGGAGGCACATGCGTGCTACCTGGGGAGGTGGGCGCTGACTTGAGAGTCTTGCAGCATTGGGCAGCTGGCTGTTCTTTTGTTCTCAGTCTTGGGCAGTCTGCCTTGGCCTTGAGTGCTCACGGAGATGGTAAACCACAAGCTCTGTGCCTATTGGGCCAATGAGGAACACGGGGAAGGCTGACCTCCGATGAGCCCTAGAGCCATCTTGGCACCTTGGCATCACCACAACACACTGGGGTCACCATTGCACGGGCTGTGAAGGAATGGGGGAGGGATGGCATCTGTTGAACATAGGAGGCTTTTTGACCTTTCAGATCAACTGTAGGTTTCAGCCAGCTGGCGGTCACCTCCTATTTGCCTCTGTGTTAAAAACTCCATTAAAAAAAAAAGAACAACAAAAAACCCAGAGCTGTTGTAAATGTGCCCCGAATTCACATTAAAGGCACTCAAATATGAGCAAAGAATTGTCAAGGGCTGTGATGTCCTATCTCACTGTCCCTCCAGCCTTGTGATTGGGGCCAAGACCTACTGCTCTGGAAGTGATCAACTAAACTCATTCTACCTCGTCATTTCAGAGCCTGCATGAATATGCATCTTGTGGAAATCGACACTTGAAAGATTAAGGGTTGTTTTCTTTTTTTTTTTGAGGTTACACTGTACTGAGGTTGAAGTAAATCTTCACATCTGATCTTGTGTGTGTGTGTGTGTGTGTTTAAACTCAAAACCATAATAACTCTGGCATGGTTTTTAGACATGAGCAGTACCACGATATCCTGTGTAATAAGCAAAAGAAATGAACAAGAGAAATATGGTCTCCTTAGAAGTGTCTTACCCAAGTGGCAGAGTAGAAAACACACAGGCTGGACTCAGGTTTAGGCCGTACCTCACCTCTTACTAGTTACAGATCCTTGAGCAGTTCAGTTCGTTTTTCTGAGATTTAATTACGTCATCAGCAGAATGGAAATAGCATTGCTTACTTCCTAGGACTCTAATCTGAAATGAATAAGCTCATGTGTGTATGAGCCCTGCCTAATGCCTGGCGTTTGGTGGGTACTTAATGAATAGTAATTATTACCATAATTTTTTTCCATTAGAGAAGTACAGTGTCCCTTTGAGACATTGTTCTGTCAGTGATTATATATCACATTTTATAATATACCACAAAACCATGTAGTTACCAGTAGTCCGACAAATGCCAACACATTTTTCATTAGTATTATCACCAAAACCCCTCTGTGAGGCACTCGCCATGTGGAATTAAAACTTGCTCACCTGTTTGCCAATAGCACTGGGAAATCAAAGATATCTGCGCATACATAGATGCAAGCCAACTGTTAGAGAAAAATGCGTCGTAATGAATATGACATCATTTGGTTTGAAGGCTATGGAGGTTTGGTCAGCAGGAGCAATAGCTCAAGGGAGATGCTGGGACTCTAGCCAATAACTTCTGACCTACAGACAGAGAAGAGACTCTGGGAACTGAAATGTCTCTTATCACATTTTAATTCAAAAAATAGAATCTTACACTCTGAGCCGAATATATAAATGGAATAAGATATCAGGAAGAGTAGTTTTCAGGTGATAAATAGTGCACTTGGCAAAGAGCTTTCTACATGTGGCATCAGTGAAGCATGGGACCTTTTCTCTGCGTATTCCCACCGTGCGTATCATCAAAACAGATGGATGTCTGGAACTTAATGATAATGCCATGCATTGATATAACACTTGTATACCAGGGCACCTTGACATGTAGGACCTCAAAAGTGGGGGAGACTTATTGACTCGTCTCTCTCTTCATCCATCCATCCATTCATCCATCACCCATCCATCTATCCACCCACCTACCCACCATCCCCTCCATCTGTCTATCCACCCATCCATCCATTCAACCAACATTAATTGAATGCATACTTTCTGCCAGGCCCTGGGCTGGAGGCCAAGGCAACAAAGATGGAAAGACTCAATTCTACCCCTCACGGACCTTTCAAAGCACTGAGAGTTGGACACAGTCAAAAGGGAGACATACTCAAAACTCAGTGAATTACACATGGGCTGGCCACATAGCAGACTTTTAGTAAATACCAAATAAAGACGACAGAAATAAACAACAGGTGTGTGGAAAGAGATGCTGTTTCCAGCTCTCTCTGAATTATTTATTTTGAGAGCAAGGGACTTTGAGCCTGAGTTTCATCATTTCGGGCAGAATAACTCTGGTGAGTAGGTGGCTCTTGCCTCTCGTTCTAGCCCACATTCCTCATCTCCAGAGAGAATGTTTCCGTGGCTTGAAGCCTTTAATGGAGAAAGTTCTCCCTAACAGGCTGTCTTCACTTCAAGTGAGGGAGGGCCCTTTGCTGCATGCTTGGTCACTGACGATCCTGGTGGAGGGAGCCCAGGGATCATTTTCACGTTCAGCCGCTGAGCAGGCTGGATGGGGGCCATCTGTGTTACTCTCCCTTTATCTAAGATGGCTGTCCAGGGCAGCCAGGAATGGGTTTTTGAAAGAAATACTCAGAAAAGTTAAAAAATAGCATAAATGTTATCCCCCGTTCACTATCAAGTTGCGATTTATTGTTCATTTTAGTTTGTCTTCTGTGCCTTTTGCCAAGGATTTAGCCATGTATACTTTGGCTATTTTGAATTAGAATTTCAAACTGCATAGAAACTCTGGTGCCATTGTTTTTGTTTTTTAAACAAACAAAAAATTGAATTCTGCACTTGTCTGTTTTAAACATCAGCAAAACTGAAATTGATTGTCATATAACTCTAAGTTATAATAACTTTCACCTATTTGGATTCGGTCTGCAATTTTGGCATGAACTGATGGGAGTTAAAATATTGTGAAGCTTAAAAAAAAATTTATTTTCCTGGTTTGGATTTGAGAGGTTCTGGAAGTTTGAGATTGGAAAGGGATCATTAGAAAACACATCATCATCAATCAATTTACTGAGACAACGGTGTACATGGCGTTCCATTCCAGCTTTGCAGAAATTGTCCCATCAATTCTAATCTGGCCATTGTCACTGAAGCAGACAAAGAATCAATCAAATCAACAAGTATTTATGCAGGACTTATCACACACTTAGCCCAGTTTCAGGGTAGGACTTGGAAGAGGAGCAGGACAATGTGGCAGATGTCTAAGATACATTCCTTCATTATGTGAACAGTACAAAGGAAAATAGCAATTTTTTTTCCTCAAAATACTGTCTGTCTTGGACGCCTGGGTGGCTCAGTTGTTAAGCAGCTGCCTTCGGCTCAGGTCATGATCCCAGAGTCCTGGGATAGAGTCCCACATCGGGCTCCCTGCTCAGCGGGAAGCCTGCTTCTCCCTCTCCCACTCCGCCTGCTTGTGTTCCTGCTCTCGCGGTCTCTGTCAAATAAATAAATAAAATCTTTAAAAACAAAAAATACTGTCTGTCTTGATCATTAGCTTTGAATAGATGTATGATTTTAGGTTACAAAGTTGAAAATATTTTACTGCTCAGTACTTTCAATGTCCAGTGAGTTATTCGGGGAAGCAAAAGCCCACAAATTTATTATACTGGTCTGGTGTTTTGACAATTGCTGCTGATTTGGGCAGCATAGAAAGGACCCTTCATCCTGTCTGCAGAAGAGCACAACAGTATAGAAGGGCCTTCAAGGGAATTATTTCCTCCCTGGCATCCCTGTTGCCGAGTGATCAACAAGTTTCTGCATACCAGTTGGTATTGTATGGTCTCCCAGGCCCACGAAGCTGACCAGCAGGCAGATGGACATTGATGTTCTGTCCATAGTCATGGAAAAGGGTTGGAAGTGGCCAGGTTATATAACCGTCTGACTTAAAGAGAAATCCAGATCCTTTTCCAAGAAATAAAGCAACACTTGGGAAGTATAAGGGGACTTTTCTCTGTACTGTCCAGCTAGGGAGGCGTTCAAAGCACCTGTGATTTTCCCAACAGCTCCATCAAGGTATAATTTACATGGCATAAACCCCACCTGTTGTAAGTGCACAGTTCAGCATGTTTTAGTAAGTTCATACGGTTGTGCAACCATCAATATAATCCAGTTATAGAACACCCCCAAAGTTCCCTCAGGCCCATTTTCTGTCAATCCCTGCTCCCACCCACAGACCCAGACAACCACTGATCTTCTTTTTGTCTAGGAATTTTACATAAATGGAATCATACAATATGTTGTCTTTTGTGTCTGGCTTCTTTCACTTAGCATCATGTTTTTAAGGTTCATTCATGTTGTTTCATGAATCAGTAATTCGCTCCTTTTTATTTCTGAGGAGTGTTCCTCTGTATGGATAGATCATTTTGTTAATCTCGTCATCAGCCAATGACCATTGAGATCTTTTCCAGTTTTTGCTATAATATGCACTCTGTCACTGAAAACTTTAAGCAAAACATGACACTCATGATGAAATGGCAATTTGATCCACTCTTGATTTTGAATTGTTCATGTCACTGCCCCGTTCTAAAATAGACTTATATTAGGTCCACACGATATAAAGCACATCTGGAAGGGGGACATTACTAAGTGGATAGTTTGTCCGATTAAGACTTCGGTTATGCCACATGAACCAGATCTTAGAGACTTGAGATGAGTCAACTCTTCCCAAAAGCAAGAGAAATTTGCCCAAAGACACTCTTACTTTTTTTTCTCTTACTATATCTGTTTCCTTACTCTTCAAGTACTGGCTCTAGCTACCCCACCCTTCCTCATTCACCCATGCATAAGTATTCCATGGACCTTTCCTTGTGTTAAGGTAGGTGCAGTAGTAGATAGGAAAAAGGAGTCAAACATGAAGATTATAACCAGTTTTGGATAGGTACCCAACTCAGTTTTTTGAACATTTTCGACTGAGACCCACAGTAAGAAATACATCTTACCATATATAAATAACTGAGACAAAAGTTTTGTCAAATGGTACTTAACAATACTGCGTGTTGTGCACTATGTTTTCTGTTTCATTAAAAAAAAAATTGATTGCAATCCACTGAACGGATTTTGCCAACACTCATGGGTTGCATCTTGCAACTTAAAAAAAAGTTTCACAAAATGTTAACACTTTGGGATAAAGAGGGAGAGGACAATGCTTTCCATCCAGGAGGACTGGGGCATGGGAGAACCGTATGGGGGCTGAGCTGGGGGTGGGTGGTGGTAGACAGAGGGTGTGAGGACCTTCTTAGCAACACAGATACCGCTCTGACCCTTGTTCATCTAATTTCCACCAGGGCTTGGAAGACAGTCCTCCGGGCAAGTCCTGTGTAACGAGGAAGCCAGGCCCCTGTGGTTTGGCAGAGGTGGGTGGCAGAAGGGATGACAGCGAGAGGAATTTTCCTTGCTTCCCGGCGAATAGAACAAGCCCAACCTCATAAAGCAAATGTGCCCTCAGTTATTCAAAATTTACTGCCCTTGGATTTGATAATACTTCTCTTGGAGTAGCTGAAGCACGTAAGAACCTAGCAGGTTTTATGATCTCCCTGGAAGACCAAACACTTGGGCTGTGTCTCCAATTCTTTTGGAATCAATAATTATCTTTGGTTTGTTTTTCTTTCCTCTTCGTCCAGTCCTTTAAAAATTCCTTCTCTAGCCTGTTTTCTCTCTGCTGTCTTTCTTATGAAATAACTAAAGCCGGACACTATAACAAAACAGCTCCTTTCGTCAGTGCCACCCAGATCCTTTATTTGGTGGTACTTCTCTCTGTCCCTAATTCTTGAGGGTGACAAATGCTCGGACAGAGGTGGCTTTCAGATAAGCAGGAGAGGGATTTTTTTAAAAGACATTTATTGAGAAGTAATTACTGACTAAGCATTTGACATACTTTGTCTCACTTAATTCTTGAAATGAGCTTATGAGGAAGACACCCTTGCCCCCATTTTCCAAAATTGAAAGTGGGACTCAGAGAGGTTAGTTAACTGACCAGAGATCACAAAGCTATTAAGTGGTGGAGTTGAAATTCCAACCCGAGTCTGATGACTCTATAGCATGTGAGGTTGGTGGTACCCATCCAGCCAACGGTCACGGAGAAACTGTTATGCCCTGAGATGCTCATGGAATTGTACAATGCGACCTGGAAACAGTGAGAATGACCTGGCAGCTGTGGGAAGTTGGTCTGAGAGACCCGTGGGGGAGCAGCTGAGGGGTTGGAGGCTTATCTGGAGGAAGTGGGGAGTCCCTGGAGGTTTGTGAGCAGGGGAGTCATGTGGCAGATGGAAGCTGCCTCTGGCAGCAGATGGGAGGTGATGGGCATCTGGCTCAGGAAGGCGGTGGGGGTGGGGGTGGGGGGAGAAGGCAGAGAGGAATGCCATGAATGTGGGAGCCTGACCACACTTGATGGCTGATTCTGTCCAGGCATCAAAGCCTCCTGCTTACTCTTCCCGCCGTCGTGGCTGACCGGAGCGACCCCCTCCCTGGCTCATCCAAGACAACTCTTTTGGAAAAGTCCCTGAGCCCTTGTTAGTCCTGAATTCTGCTCCTGGGAGAAGCGCTGTTGCTTCTGGCCTCTGGCTGCTGCCAGATTTGGCTGGAGGTCTGTTTCTTGGGTATCCTGAACTCATTAGTGTGTGTGACAAGTTTAACTGCTCTCAACCACAACAAATTATTTCACATTTTCCCCCGTTGCGTTTACGTGATTTTGGAGCTTGTGAGTTTCCTCGCATTGGACCGAGTTCCACGGTGCTCCCTGCAATATGGTGCCCCCATCCGCTGCTCTTTCCTACAGCGTTTAGCCTAAAAAATCTTGAGTAAAGCCTGCCGCGTTGGTGGATTCCCATTTTCAACATTTTCCTCTAGCTTCATAATTTTTTCCACCCTAGACAGGATCTCGTGCTTCAAAAACATGGGGCTCAGGCTGGTACCGCCCATTACCGTGACCTCGGTGACTTCTGTCCCTCCCCGTGTTTGGCCACACAGCCCTTCCAGCCACGGTTGTTCACCTGACTCTTGATCTTTGGGAAAGAGGTGAAATGGTCACAGCACCTCACAACAGCCCACAATTGGGAAAGGTTGGGATTGTAAAGTTAAAAATGAAGGAAACAGCTTTAGCAAGCTGGGCCAGTTCTGCCTCTCAGAAACAGCACAATGCGGAGAACCCTTGATTTTCCAGCAATTTTCAAACTAAGACCAGGAACTGGGAAAAGCTGGATTGATGAATAGGGATGGGGTTCACTCCCCATTCTGCAGCCTGCTTTTTCACTCTCCTCTTTGTATCTTTTGCAGTCAAATGCTCTACCACTGAGCTATACCCCCTGTTTGTATCTTTTGATGCACAAAAGTTTTTGAGTTTGATATGGTCCCATTTTGGCTATTTTTGCTAAGTAACTTCTTTTTTTTTTTTTTTTAGATTTGATTTATTTATTTGAGAGAGAGAGAAAGAGAGAGAGCACAAATGGGGGTGGGGGGCAGGGCAGAGGGAGAGGGAGAAGCAGATTTCCTCCTGAGCAGGGAGCCAGATGCAGGGCTTGATCCCAGGACCCTGAGATCATGATCTGAGCTGAAGGCAGATGCTTAACTGACTGAGCCACCCAAAGCACCCCTAAGTAACTTCATTTTAAGACAAAGAAAAGTGTGGTTATTTTCCCTGTGTACATGTTATATTCTGAATAAGCTTGTAGATTTTAAGGCCAGTGGAACAGATCTATAATAATAATAGCAAATCATAACATCTCCCTATCATTTCATTTGGTGCCAGAGGAAAAAGATGGTCATGCTGTTTATTTTAGAATAGTCCGAAATCAGGGTGAGTAGTGCAGAGGTTAAGTGCAGTCTCTATAGTCTGTGTTCTGGGCCCATGTC